CGCGAGACTAAAGATTATTAACACGCCGCGCGTTACTGCATCTCGCGACTATAAGAACAAACAATTAAGCGTATTCACGGCAAAGGCAGATAACAACAATAGCATGGTTGCGACAAGAGAAGTTCACGCGAGTATTCTCGTCACAAAGAGTTGCGAACGAAAGATATCGCGAAAGACTACCACGCGCCACGTGTTATCGCGATGCGCGATTACAAGAATGCGCGATAATTAACAAGTTAATGAATGATGCGACGTGAGCGAAAGATCGGCGGCAATTTTCTAACGCGGGATCCGGCTCGAAGGATCAATGAACGGGGATAGTTTCGCCCCGGAGGCAAGATTTGCGATACTCGAAGGACCAGAGGGGGGTTGTCGCTTTCCCCTCACGACTATCAATGTTTAACGCGAAAGCAGAAACGCATGCAACGAAATATTAAGCGAAGCGACTCACCGTGTCGACCGTCGTCCCCGTGATTCCGTCAATCCTCGTCCTGTCCCTTGAACTTGGCCGCTCCGTGGGTCTCGTTCGGCATGCGGTGGCAAAACTCGTGCAAGCAAGCAAAACGGTGGAGAGCAAGCGATAGAGCAGGCAGGAAAAAGGCAGTTGGAGACGTGCGCACTCCCGGTTGAGCAAGGCGGCAAAGGCGATTTCGAGATGCGTTCTGCCCGGCGAACGTGTGCCGTAAGACGGCTCTTAGAATATGTGTGTGTGTGTGTGCCGCACGGCGGCTTGACGAAAAGTTCAGCTGAGAGGTGTGTCCTCTCCGACTATTTGACGATGAGTGTCTTCTCCCCGCGGTCCTGGAACATGTCGCTGCGGGCGAGTAGTTGTTCCCTTTCCGGGGGGGGTGGATACCGTCGGCGGATGGGCGATGGCAGCACCGACAGGTGAGTCGCATGATTTGGCTGATCGCGATCCGCCGACGTTTCGCGCGAGAATTACAAACGACTTATGCAACTAAGTATGAACGATATGAATACATGAACATGAAGTAACTACACTATTTACAAGGCGATACGCCGAACATACCGCTACCAAAATACGACGTATTTTCTACGCTTGAACAGATTCCTCTGGTGAAGTGTCCATCGGCAGTGGGCACAACTTCACCAGAGGACGAGTAAGCACGCCATCCGTCGTCCGCACCGTAGCGACCCGAGCGACGCCGTCACGGCCCGGGTGCAGCTCCACGATTCGCCCTCGCCTCCATTGCAAGGGAGGGGCGTTTTCGCTCTTTACCAGGACCAGTGTGTCCTTTTTTACCGTAGGTGCCGATTGCAACCACTTCGGTCGCTGTTGGAGGGTGTGCAGGTATTCGTCTTGCCACCTCTTCCAGAACTGCTGGTGCGTATGTTGCACCATTTGCCACCGATCGAGTCTGTTCATCGGCATCGGGTTCAGGTCAGGGTGTGGAACCGCCACGAGAGGCTCCAGGGTGAGGAAATGCCCAGGGTAGAGCACCCCGAGGTCGCTGGAATCTGAACTGGTGGGACAGAGGGGTCTGGAGTTCAGGATAGCTTCTACTAGGATCCAGAAGTTTTGTGACAAGATGTAATGTGACGCTCGACGTCCCGGATGCAAATGTAGGCGGTGGGTGCGCTCTACTATAAGTTCCGTGAGTCGATGTCGGTTAGGCAGCAATGCCGGGTGTTTAGCCTCGTGTGAGATGGCGGAATGGGTGAGCCTGCCGCCCACCCTGAGGACTCCGCAACCATCCAAGAAGGGGGCAAGTTTTCGCAGAGGTTTGGAGCAACTCTGATTGCGTCTGAAGCTACCGATATCCTCTGCGAAGCAACGAGATTGTACAAATTTGACGAGGCATAACAAGGTTGAGTGAAATTCAATTTGATCCACGACGAGAGTGAGCGCATTTGATCTAGTTTTGGTAACGAATCGGAGACGATATGCGAACATGAGTGGGGTCAAGAGTCCCCCTGGATCAAGGATGTGAATTCGTTGAGGACCTCCGAATGAGGTCCGGCCGCTTGGCGACAGCCGACGAGCCCTCCGTGATAGTGGGAGGAACATGGCGATACGCCAAGGCGGCGGTAAGGTCCTAGGGCACCGCGAGTGCAGGCGACTCGACGGCGCGCGATGACGAGATGAGTGTATAGGGACTCGACCTCGTCCAAACAATGCTATGGATACGCGGATATCTTCGCCGCGACGTGCCCGTGTGACGCGCGGACGAGAGAGACCACGCGCGCGGTTATCCCCGCTGCGACGTGCCCATGCGACGCGCGGACGAGAGACCTCCCGCTTGAGTTTGTGACCCTCGAGCGCATGTGATTCGGCGGTGTATGATGACGAGGTGAGAGTGTAAGGACTCGACCTCGTCCAAACAAAACGACACTTACGCGGATGTCTTCGCCGCAACGTGCCCATGCGACACCCGGGCAAGAGACATCCCGTGTGATGAAGCGAAACGACGATTACGCGGATGTCTTCGCCGCGACGTGCCCATGCAGCGCCCGGACGAGAGACGTCCCGCGTGGTGAAGCGAAACAACGATTGCGCGGATACCTTCGCCGCGACGTGCCCATGCGACGCCCGGACGAGAGACATCACGCGCGCGGTTGTCCCCGCCGCGACGCGCCCATGCGGCGTGCGGACGAGAGACCTCCCGCTTGAGTTTGTGACCCCCGAGTGTGTGGGGATCTCGTCTAACTGCCAACATCGAATGAGAGATGCATCTAGAGAATTGAGAGTTAGAAACGAATGTGTAGACTGAGATGCTTGCATCGACACTGAGCCAACCAGAACCCAGCCAAAAATGGAATTAAAGGCGTCTGGTTCACCTTTCCTTCCTACACGATGACCGTCCCGAATCAACGAGGCAAAGATATCTGCGCCGATTAAGAGGTCGACGGGACCAGGTCGGTGATACTGCGGATCCGCGAGCTTTAATCCCTCTACGTGTTTCCACGCTCTTTGTTCGACTTGTCTACTAGGTAATTGGGCAGAGATGCGTGGGAGAATCGTAGCCTCTATCGGAACGCGAGTGTTGCCATTACCCTGTACTTGAATCACGAGTGAGGTGCTACCTCGAGTGGCAGCCGCTTTAGTATCATTTACCGCTAGGACTACAGTACGACACTTGGTTCGTCTGAAACCACCCTTTTTCATGCAATTTTCCGAAATGAAATTTAATTGACTGGCACTATCCAAAAGAATGCGAACAGGGAAGGGATTTCCGTGAACGTCGAGAGCTTCGGCCTGCACCGTTGACAATAATACTGTCGAACTCGATTTCGCGACGCTAGCCATGGTGACGAGGGGTTCATTATTTTGTGGCGACGAACTCTCGTCGACGGCCGATTCGGAGGAGGCTCCGGTATCCGCCAAGGTGTCCGCTGGACCCGAATTCCGTCCGAAATGCAATAAGGTATGATGCCTAGCCTGGCACGACCGGCACGTTTCCGTCGATGTGCAGTTGTTAGTGTCATGACCCGTGCGAAGGCAATTGAAACACAAATTCGCGGTTTTGGCCGTTGAATGCCTTTCCCGGGGGGATAGTTTCAAGAATCAAAGGCACTTGAACACGAGATGTTGTTCCTCGCACACCGGACAGTCGGCGGTTCGAGTTGCAAGCGACGAAGCCGACGCGGACGATTGTGATTTGAACGGCATGGTCGACGGACCCGAGATGGCCTCAAGTACTTTACAGTGCTCGGAAAGAAACTTGATGAGTTGAGCGTATCGCGGTATCTCTTCGGCCCGATGGACAGATTCGAACTTTTCCCGCAATGATCGGGAAAGCTTCTCGAGCAGGAAATTGAGCAAAAGAAAATCCCACGAATCGGTAGGGAACTTCATCAGGTTTAGCGCGCGAGTGTTTTCGGTGAACGTATCTAATAATTTATGGAGGGCATCGGCCGATTCTATCTTTAACGGTTTGGCTTCGCGTATCGACTTTAGATGGTGGTCCGCTAGCTTCCTTCTGTTCCGATATTTGTCGAGCAGCGCGTCGTATGCGATCATGTAATACTCCGCGGCGAGGGGCAAATTCTTGATTACATTGAGCGCCTCCCCCTTTAGCGAGGCCAGCAGATATTGATACTTCTCTATTGACGAGATCTGTCGGTTGTCGTGAATCGAGGTGTTGAACAAGGCGATAAAAGATGGCCACAGCGTGAGATCGCCCGAAAATTGCGGAAGCGTAATTTTGGGTAACTTGATCGCCGACGCGTGGCTCGCGGAATGAGCCTGTGCGGTTCCGGGCGCCGTGCTCGTGAGCGCGTGATACCGTCCCTTCACGGTGTAATGCATTTTATCGAAATCTGCCCGAATCGCGTCTTCGGCGTCGAACTCAGTAGTCTCTTGTATAACCTTTAGCGCGTTCTCAAAGTCCTCGGCGATTCTCGCCACGCTCGGATAGCGGGCAAGAAAACCTTCTAGGATCTTCGGTTCGGACGAGGCTTTCCGGGCAAGATCATAAATCTCCCGCATCCGCCGGACGCATAACTCGCGACAAGAGGGAGCTGACTTTGATTTCGACATGTTGGTTGATATGTAACGATCAACAGCAACGGCGAACGATCCCAAGGACGCGTAGTGTATTGTCGCCCCGTGAAAATACCGGCGAACAATAGGCTTCGAGTTTATATGCTAAGGGACGAAAGAGAGAACGAAAGCAAACAACCGTTCCGTTCGTCAAGGTGATGAGGAACAACAGATGGCTCGATTCGGATTCCCACGCGAAGGCACGATATTCCCGATAGAATGTTTTTCAAACACGATATAATAGCGCAACCAGAATGACAGTTTTGTTAATCGCAAGAGCGAATGGCGAACGCAAGAAAAGGGGATCAAATGCAGTGTAGAACTAGCAAGGAAGAGGGTTGCAAGGGATGGACAAAAATAAGAAAATAGTTGTATCAGCGATCAAAATTATCAATTAGGTTGGCACAGGTGCCCGGTTACGACGAGAAATGCACTCAAGTATTTGTTCAGATTAAGTTTTCAGCAATACATGTTGTGCGCGGAGCTACGACACGAGCAGCGTATACGACATGAGCAGTACACACATGACACGAGCAATAATCCACAACATGAGCATCAATTACGCCAACTTCTTTTGCAATTGTGATTATAATTGTAATTATAATCTATGATAAGATTACCTTGAGTGCTACAATATATTCTATACCGGGAACCAGTGCCGGCGAACTGTATATTCGATCGGTGGCAATTATGTTTGCAAGAATTCCAACGATCGGAATAATATATTCAGTTCGTGTTTTCAATATGTATTTCGAGTCTGGCCGAAACACACCCAGCAACAACGAAAATAATGTAGCGCGTTATTATGGAACGCGAGCTTATGTAGAAAAAATGGGTATATACGCTGCCGGCCCGTGACCGAGCGTCAAGGACGTCGACGGCGCGGCAAAAACGTATGGCTAGCCCGAGAATATTCGAGATCTGAATATTTCGGTTTCTGTGTTAACAATGACGGGCTTTAACTAATTACTAATACCGCGTCAATTGCGCAATTTACGATTAGTACAAATAACGGCGATGGAACGTGTTACAACGAGCGAGAGAATTGCGAGCGAGAGATATCGCGCGAGATCGTGGATTCACGCGAGTATTCTCGTCGCGAATTGATTATATTATTAACACGCCACGCGTTATTGCAATTCGCGTTAAATGCGAATAACAGCGGCGGAACGTGTTACGACGAGCGAGAAGTTCACGCGAGTATTCTCGCTGCGAATTAAGAATTGCGAACGAGAGATATCACGCGAGACTAAAGATTATTAACACGCCGCGCGTTACTGCATCTCGCGACTATAAGAACAAACAATTAAGCGTATTCACGGCAAAGGCAGATAACAACAATAGCATGGTTGCGACAAGAGAAGTTCACGCGAGTATTCTCGTCACAAAGAGTTGCGAACGAAAGATATCGCGAAAGACTACCACGCGCCACGTGTTATCGCGATGCGCGATTACAAGAATGCGCGATAATTAACAAGTTAATGAATGATGCGACGTGAGCGAAAGATCGGCGGCAATTTTCTAACGCGGGATCCGGCTCGAAGGATCAATGAACGGGGATAGTTTCGCCCCGGAGGCAAGATTTGCGATACTCGAAGGACCAGAGGGGGGTTGTCGCTTTCCCCTCACGACTATCAATGTTTAACGCGAAAGCAGAAACGCATGCAACGAAATATTAAGCGAAGCGACTCACCGTGTCG